AAGTGCAAAGTACTGCACTTGGGGAGGAAGAACCAGCAGCATACCTACAGGCTGGGGAACTCCCTTCTCATCAGTGCAGAGGCAGAAAAGGATCTTGGAATCATTATTGATGCCAAAATGAACATGGGCCGGCAGTGTGGGGACGCAGTCAGGAAGGCCAACCACACCTTGTCATGCATCCACAGATGCATCTCGAGCAGGTCCAGGGAGGTGATCCTCCTCCTCTATGCGGCACTGGTCAGGCCACAGTTGGAGTACTGCATCCAGTTCTGGGCACCACACTTCAGGAGGGATGTGGACAACATGGAGAGGGTCCAGAGGAGGGCCACCCACATGATCAGGAGTCAGCAGGGCAGGCCCTACGAGGAGAGGCTATGGGACCTGAGCCTGTTCAGCCTCCACAAGAGAAGGCTGAGGGGGGATCAAGTGGCCATTTACAAACTAGTCAGGGGGGACCAGCAGGCATTGGGGGAGTCCCTGTTCCCCCGAGCACTACCAGGAGTGACTAGAAATAACGGTCACAAGCTGGCAGAGGGTAGATTCAGGCTAGATATCAGGAGGCGCTACTTCACTGTCAGGGCAGCTAGGATCTGGAACCAACTTCCAAGAGAAGTGGTGCTGGCTCCTACCCTTGGGGTCTTTAACAGGAGGCTGGATGAACACCTTGCCAGGGTTGTTTGACCCCAGTGCTCTTCCTGCCATGGCAGGGGGTTGGACTTGATGATCTGCTCAGGTCCCTTCCGTCCCTACCAACTATGAAACTATGAAACTATGACCCAAGCTGCCTCCTGCAACTGCCAGGGTCTCAGTCCCTCCCAGACCCTCAGGTGCACCGGCTATGCACTGACGCTGCACCTCCTCATGGTGGGGCTGGGGAACACAGTGGCTTGCCGCTTCCATCCAACGATCCATTTTTGGGCTCCTCTGGGGCTACTGCTGGCCAGCTCTGCCAGCTCTTCTTCTGCCCTCTTCTTCATTCCTCAATGCAGACGCCTGTGTGCTGGGCATGCTGCCTTTTTTATTACCTCCAGAGTTTCCACCCCCAGATTGCAAATGAACCAATCAGAGAGGGAGGGCGTTAGTCCCCTCTCAGGTCAAGCTCTTCACCTCGCTCTGGGTAGGGCCGGGGCAAGCCTCTCCCCTGCCGTCACCCGCTGATTGGTGGGAAAGGCTCCAACAGTTGCTTGGAGCTCCTCCTAGCTGGCAAGTGGGCTGCTGCCGGCAGGCCTGCCACATAGAGGAGACAAAGTAGAGCACCATAGGGTTACTTAGGCACCCCAAAACTGGGGAAGTTTCACGGGTCTCAGCAACAAAATGCAGTTGTCCCTTAAATGACTCTGGGGTTACACTGGAAGTCTGCAGCTGAAATGGCTTAAATTTTCAGTGTTGGGAGCTTTCATTTTTCCAATTAAAAATCAAAATTGTTATGCACATTTTAAGACAGACAGACCAAAGGGAAGGGAATGGAGAGTTGAACAGCCAAATGTTATATCTGAAATTTCTCTGATGTGATGAGTTTTAGCCAAAGCCACCGGGGCAAGGAGGGGAATGGGGACAGCGGGAACCCTGCCTGGATCCCTGGCAAGTCTGCCCCAGGACTGGAGATGCAGTAAGCATCAGGTCTTCGTCCAGAGACAAGCACAGCCTGGGATCTGTCACACATTTAGGAATGCTGGGGCCCTCTGCAGCTCTACAGAAGAACCAGTAAGGTCCAGTTCATTGCTGCTATTAGGCGTGAAACTGAAGGATCAGGGAGCTGCTGGTTTGCCAGAAATGTAGTTAAAATGTTGTTTTGATTTAGCTTATCCAGATTTAAGAAAAGGAAAAATTTCTGGCAGTCCTGAAGCCCTAGGCTTTTGCCTGATCTCCAGATGAGTCTTTTTCCTCACGTGCAGAAAGGCTGAAAGTTAACCACAGTTATCCACTGCAATTCCCTCAAGTTTCTAAAAGTTAACAAGACATAAAAGCCCTCGGGAATGTGGCTTTTAGAATTGCTTCAAGAAAGAGAGTTCATTAAATCAGACCTTAACAAATGCCTTCCTACTTAGAAGGGAGGCTTCCACTAACTTTAAATGGTGGGTGTGGGGTTTGCCAATCAATACTGAGTTTGCTCGTCTTCAGCTGACTTCTACTCCATATATTTTAGCATCAGCAGAGACTCTGAGGATGATTCTGTCTGATCTACCTGGCAAGGCTAGGGATTTTACTCCACCTTGTTTTGTCTCAAGCTCAGATGCCATATGAGATAATGCCATTTTATTTGTGTTGCTTTTTAAAGAATGTAAAGATTTGTTCTGTATTTGATTTGCGCAAACGTGTCCCAGATCTCACTTGAAATAAAACATCACTGGATTTTACATAATTTACAGGTGAGGGGCCAAGAGGAACACTCAGGTCTTATGGAAGATATTATGTCATAAAATCTGGCGACGAAACTCCTGTAGTACAAGAGATCACAATATTTCTTTCGGTTCCATGATATTGATCAGGAAGAATTCTTGTTGATGGAGGTCAGGTATGTTCCCCCTCTTTAATGCATATAATATTGATTTTTAAGTGAAAACTGACATTTTTCAACCCTAAACCCAATAATTTTCAAACGTTTGGGGCATTTTTTTTTTTAGCTGAAAAACAACAACAACAACAATAAAAGCATAAAACAACACACTATACCTGGACAAAATCTGTTACAAAAATTTAGGGTTTTTTGCTGAATTTCTATGCATTTCTAGAAAAGCAGACACTTTCCATTAACTTTTTGCTTGTTCAACAATATTTTGGACTTTATGAAGAGGATTTATTAATATGATCAGAAATATATTAAGATGCAGATTACGTGGTTTTAGTGTTATTGATTGTTTATTATATATTACCAACTTATGTTTGTATTAATTATAATTCATTTTAATCTTCTGTTAATGGTTAAATATTGGTGCTGATTAATATCTTTCTGTCCCTGTCATTAACTCTTGGTTATTATGTATTATCTGTTGGCTATTCATTTTTGGATACATGGCAGGACACAGGGAGAAAATTAGACATTGCTGGTTACTTCTCCAAATAGGTGTCAGGCTGGATGCATTAAGTTTACAACATTGGTAAATGTGTGTGTTGTGTTGTGGAGTGGCGTGACCAAAGCAGCAAAGCTTATGACAAAGATGGAAGCCTCATGTTGGCAGATAGGTGGGAATCTGATTCTTGTCCTCTCCCTCGGTCCCACACAACAGTAGGGTTGGCTGTTTGCGCCATCCTTGTCCATTGGTTCCACTCAGTGATAGCTTCTCTTCTTGGCACCTGCGTAGTTCTGCTCTTTCTCTGTTCCTTTTTTCCTTGGATTTTTCTCTCCATCACTTCTCATTTTGTTTTCATGTTCTCAGCACCATGGTCTTCTCTCCCTGGCTTTCTCAGCAATGTTCATTGAACTCTGTGGTTTTCCAATGTCATCAGTTCTGTCCATCTCTCACTGCGCTGCCCAGTATCTAAATGTTCTCATTTCAGTTCTCTTGTGTCATTTCTGTCGTGTGATCCATCCAGCAACCAAATGTCCAGTCTGTAGAGTAACACTGGCCTCAAAACTGTCTGAGGCTTTCTTGGAAGCAATACCTACAACTTCTTTCCACTTCTTCCACCCTATCTTAACCCTCTCTCTCGCTTCTGCTTTAAAATTACCTGTAGCACTGTATGTAGAACACAAATATTTGAATGTCCATGCCCGGTTTAGGTTAGCCCGTTTAAGATATTTTGTTACTATGTTTTCCAATCCACATCTAAAACTCATTATTATAAGATAGAATCCTTAGTAAGGCTATATAGTGGTGTTTATGTAATAAAGGAATATCAGAAAAGATTGTGACGACTGTAGAAGCGATGAAACCAATAGTCAGAACTGTCTGGGGAATAATGGAGCCTGACATCCAGGCTGGATTACACTAAGATTTGGCATAAAGCTCATACCTGCTTATCGTAATGATGGAGGTAGCGACTGAAAGGGCACATGGAGACTCTACGTGGAGGTTCCTACTTGGAAATGGTCCTAGAGGCAGGAATAATGAGGAGACTTCCAAAATGATACGCAGATTGACAGGGCCATGTAAAGAGAAATGACTTCACAGAAAACATGGGAGAAACAAAAGTCACTGGTAAGAGGGAATTGCTTGATTGCTGCAAGAGGGAGTGATTAAATATCAGGGAGATGGGAGTGATGTTGGAGCTAAACAACAATGAGGGCAAATGATCAATTGGGTGAAAGTGGCCAGGAATAAATATTGCCTGGTAATGCATGGCAGGGTTGTAACCATGAGAGTAGGGAGGTTCTAGAACAGGCACCAGATTATAGTAGTAGGGGCAAAATACCAAAGGGATGTTAAGATAGAGCTTGACAAGTTTATGTGTAGGTTGGTATATTGTGGGAACCTGTGATAGTAGGGATTGGATTCAGCCATGTAGGAGGGTCCAACTTTGTCTGTCTTCAGTTTTTAGCAAACTGCAACTCTTGCCTGTTCTGTATCAGTGTCTATCCCACTCCTAGTGTCACACTGTCTGTACAGTGCCCAGCCATGCATTAAGCAACATGACTGACCATTGTCACTTGGGCACAGTTCTCTCTTACCTCACTGCAGGAGTTAAGTTGTAGTGAAGTGTAGTGTAATGAAGTGTAGTCCTTTTTAAATAAGGTTTTGATAACCGGTTGGAGGAGTGAATGTGAAACAGAACATGGTGAGATTTGGGAAGGTCCTTACATAATCAGGGAAGTCATTACCCCATCTCAGACTGTTTTTCTGTCAAAACTTTCATGGGGCCATACAAGTGCACCTGTCATTTGGGTTTCATGTGAAAGGATGCGCCAGGACTTTAGGCAGTAGATGGGCTATGGGACCTTTTGCAACATGCCTCTATGTCACCTTGATGCAGCTATCCACAGGGGATAACAAGTCACACTGGAGCCTGCTGTATGACTTCATAGCTGTGTTGCTCATTGCAGATGGAACCCCATGGGTCAGATGGAGCTGGAGAATCATACCATGGTGACGGAGTTCATCCTGTTGGGACTCACCAGCCAGCCTGATGAACAGCGGATCCTCTTTGCCACATGTTTGCTAATGTTTCTGGCCACAATCCTTGGAAACTTCCTCATCATTGCCTTGATCTGGGCAGACTCTCGCCTCCATACCCCCATGTACTTTGTCATCAGCAACCTCTCCCTGTTGGACATCTGCTTCACCCTGGCCACTGTCCCCAAGATGCTGGCCAACATGCTTTCGGAGAAGAAGTCCATCTCCTTTGCTAGCTGTGCAGCCCAGCTCTGCTTCACCCTCTGCTGTGGCATAACTGAGTGTTTTATCCTGGCTCTCATGGCTTTTGACCGCTACGTAGCGATCTGTCGGCCCCTCCATTACTTGCTCATCATGAACAGGAGGATCTGTGGCATCATGATAATGATGGTGGCTTTTTCGGTGCTGCAGTGCTGACTGGGGTCACTTTCAGTTTTCCCTACTGTGGCCCCAACCATGTTGACCATTTCTTCTGTGAGCAGCCAGCTGTGCTGCAGCTGGTCTGTGTGGACACCTCTTCTGTGGAGGTCCTCATCTTTGCCCTTAGTGTGGTTGTCCTGATGCTGCCTTTTTTCTTCATCCTGGCCTCCTACATAGCCATTGCAGGGGCTGTCCTGAGCATGAGCTCTGCTGCTGGCTGGCACCGTGCCTTCTCCACTTGTTCCTCCCACCTGACTGTGGTCACCATGTTCTATAGCACCATTAGCTTCACCTACCTGCGCCCCCAGGCTACGCAGTCACGGGAGCAGGAGAAGAAGGTAGCTGTTTTCTACTCCATTGTTTCCCCCATGCTCAACCCTGTCATTTACAGCTTCAGGAACCAGGATGTCAAAGGGGCCTTTGCCAAAGTTCTGGGAAAAAATTGAACAAAGGAGTCACTGGGCTGAGACTATCATTGGTAGATGTCAGCAAAGCATTTGTGGCATAATTCTGGCTATACTCATGTTCTGTTAGTACAGTTGGGACAAAATTTGTCCCTGTGTTTATGTTGATGCACACTTATTGCTCTTTTCCAATCTGTTCCCAAACATACCTGTCTGCCAGAAAATTCTTGCTATGGGGACAACTTATTTTTGCCTCATTAAAAAATCTGTAGTTCTGCGTGTTCTTTGCCATCATCATCCTCTCCCCAACTGGCATTAGCATTATTTTTTTGTCTTGGATTTTGCCATGTTGGGAATGACAATATCATGTCTACTTGTTCAAATAATGTACAACTCGGATAATCCCAACTTGTTGATAGGAGCACATGTTTGAATGAGCAGAGTTGTCCTCTTTGATATAACTCTGGTAACGGGCAGCCTGACCAGCATCCGACTCACCTTTGAAGTACCAGTTCCCTTTTTCTTCTGTGAACTGACTGTGTGACTTCTCGACTTGTTAATTCATAGCTTCATAGATTCATAGATGTTAGGGCTGGAAGGGACCTCAGTAGGTCATCAAGTCTGATCCCCTTCCCTGGGCAGGAAAGAGCACTGGGGTCAGATGACCCCAGCTAGCTGCTTGTCCAGTTTCCTCTTGAAGACTCTCAGGGTAGGGGAAAGCACCACCTCCCTTGGAAGCCCATTCCAGATTCTGGCAACCCTTACAGTGAAGAAGTTCTTGTTAATGTCCAACCTAAATCGGCCCTCCGTCCATTTGTGGCCATTGTTCCTAGTTACTTCAGGGGTGCACTACTAAATAGAGCATTAATGGTGCACTGAACATGGTCATCTGGTGGGATGGCAATATTGATGACTAGTCCTGGCCTTCACTATCATAACCTTGACATCTGGTCCATTGTTTGGTACAGTGACATCCATGATGGTTGTGGTATCTTAATAAAATTTGGTTTTGTCATATCCCAGTACAGATGACAGTCTGTTTTTGTACCATGAAGGGATTGCTTTTTTTGTTATAAACTAACTGCTGATGTATCATCTAAGCCACTGTAAAACACCGTTCACTTTATTGTCAACAATAGAGGACATGGTAATATGATGGATTATGTAACTTGTAAGGTTGTGCACTGGGCTACAGAGAAGTATGGGGAGTACATAGATGAAGAGTGGACAAGGACATCTGCTAAATCTCATGGTTTTGGCCTTCTAACACGTTATCAAGAGAAGCCAGCCCCAAGATAGGTCCTAGGACTAGCCCCCAGTAGAGATCCAGCCTTGTGTATAACAACCACATAACACTTAAAAGAGGTTGAGTGATCGAGTCTGTGTATAGTGATACTGTCTCATGCCAGATGTTGTGACTCATGTAGGGCAGGACTCTGTTCAACCTCTTTGGAAGAGTCCTCCAATGGCAGAAACATGTGTTTTGTGGTGACCTGAAAAGGATTTCCACCTGTAATCCCGGCCCAAACCCATCTTCTCAATCAGGCCCGGGTACCTATTTGTTGGCAGCCTGGCATGCAGAAACTTCGGGTTGGGCAGGACTCTTCCCAGACTTCTTCAGGAGAGTCTCCCAATGGCAGGCATATGTATTTTGGTGTGACGTGAAAAGGTTTTCCACTGATTATCCCAGCCCAAATCCAGCTTCTTATTTGGGGTTCTGTGCATGGATTCCTATGGTGATACTGCTTGTAGAACTCACAGGTTGTCAATTGAGTGCTCTGAATACGTCTCTGTGCACACACAGTCTCCCCCCAGATTGGAAGTCTACTCCTATGGCTCCAATCGGGACTAAAGAGGTCTTAAAACCAGGGACCTGTGAGTAAGGAATTGCACATGAGATGGTTCAGACCACCATACTGTTCTCAGCAGAGCACCTCCATGCTGTTGGCTTGGTCCATTAAGGAAAGCAACTGTTAACATGGCTGATGGATGTGTTGCCTATCAAAGGAGACACACAGTGTATAGTTACTGATGTAATAGATCTAGTACAGGAGGGTATGGAGGGAAAAGATTTTGCAGCATTATCTATACAAATTAGGAACCGATCAGTCATAGAGACCAATTATGTGAGACCTGTTTCATCCTGGGAAATTAGCCATGGTGCTTTTTCATAAGAAGTGACAGCTTCCCAGTGACAGATTGGAAAGTGTATATAGAGTGCAAAAAGTTCCTATAATGGCTGCAAGGCTCCTGTTGTGGGAGGGAAACTTTCTGAATTTTAACTTATAAGAGTTTAGAGAGCCATTGGTGCAAGGATTCAACTCTGGAATCTGAGTGTGTCTGGGCACCAGAGTCAGAGTGAGAACTTAAAGGAATCATTAGATGGGCTTGCATTGGCCATGAAATTACGCTACAAATATTAAGAGAACAGTGGCGAGGAAAGGTCTCTGTAATCAGTGGTAAATCATAGATTCGTAGATGTAGGGTCAGAAGGGACCTAAGTAGATCTTCAAGTCTGACCCCCTGGGCAGGAGAGAATACTGGGCTTATATGACCCCAGCTAGGTAATTATCAAGCCTCCTTTTAAAGACTCCCCAGGGTAGGAGCCAGCACCACTTCCCTTGGAAGTTGGTTCCAGATCCTAGCCGCCCTAACTGTGAAGGAGTTCCTTCTAATGTCCAGCCTGAACCTACTCTCAAACAACTTATGGCCATTATTCCTTGTTACTCTGGGAGGTGCTCAGGGGAACAGGGACTCTCCCATTGCCTGCTGGTCCCCCCCCGGTAAGTTTATAGACAGCCACCAGGTCCTCTCTCAGCCTTCTCTTGTGAAGGCTGAACAGGTTCAGGTCCCATAGCTTCTCTTCGTAGGATCTGCCCTGCTGTCCCGGGATCATGCTAGTGGCCCTCCTCTGGACCCTCTCAATGCTGGCCACATCCCTCCTAAAGTGCAGCGCCCAGAACTGGACGCAGTACTCCAACTGCGGCCTGACCAATGTCGCATAGAGGGGGAGGCTCACCTCCTTGGACCTGCTCGTGATGCATCTGTGGATGCATGACAAGGTGCGGTTAGCCTTATTGACCGAGTCCTCACATTGGTGGCCCATGTTCATTTTGGAATCGATAATGACCCCAAGATCTCTTTCTGTCTTGGTGCTTTCAAGAAGGGAGTTCCCCAGCCTGTAGGTATGCTGCTGGTTCTTTCTCCCTAGGTGCAGTACCCTGCACTTGTCAGTATTGAATCCCATCCTGTTCTCATTCACCCACCCCTGTAACCTGTAGCTGTAAATTGTCCCTCCCTTCTAGCGTGCCCACCTTGCCCCAAATCTTGGTTTTGTCACTGAATTTGAACAGGGTGCTTTTCACCCCCTTGTCCAAGTCGCTAATAAAGAAATTGAGCAGTGCGAGCCTGAGAACCAAGGCCTGGGGGACCCCGCTGCCCACATCTCTCCATGTCGAATATAACCCATCCACCACCACTTTCTGGGTGCAGCCCCTCAGCCAGTTTGCGACCCATCTGACTGTGTAGGCATCAATGCCACAGTCGGCTAGCTTTTTTATGAGAATGGGGTGGGAGACAGTGTTAAAGGCCTTCCTGAAGTCCAGAAAGACTACATCCACTGTGACACCTAAATCCAATGATTTTGTGACCTGATTGTAGAAGGCAATCAGGTTGGTCTGACAGGACCTGCCCCTAATGAACCCATGCTGGTTGCCCCTGAGCATCATTCCCCCTTCTGGACCTTCACAGATGTGCTCCTGGATAATCTTCTCAAAGAGCTTCCCCAGGATCAAAGTAAGACTAACAGGGCTATAGTTGCCCAGGTCGTCCCTCCTCCCTTTTTTGAAAATGGGGACCACACTGGCCCTCTTCCAGTCGTCTGGCACCTGGCCAGAGCACCATGAGTGCTTGTAAAGCCGTGCCAGGGCCCCCTCAATACCCCCTGCCAATTCCCTCAGCACCCTGGGGTGGAGAGCATCTGGACCTGCTGATTTCAACACGTCCAGCCCCTCCAGAAGTTCCCTAACTCGGTCCTTCCTGACCCTAGGCCTGTCAGAGTCTCTCAAATCCTCAGATAGCAGCAGTAGCCAGCCAGTTACATGGCATGTTCAGTCATGGCAAAATAACCCAAGAACTGGTGACCAAGAAGAAAAATTCTGGTCCAAAAGGAGGTGGTATTGGAGGAATAAAGAGTGAGGCAAACAAAAACAATGAGGTTGAGAGAAAGTCAAAATCTAGGGTTTCCTTTAGAGCTGCACTGATACATTGGTCCAATATCAGATCAGTACCGCTATAAAGAAAATTTGCTGTATCGGATATCGGCTGATAAATGCCCATGCTGCACACAGCCACAGCACAGCACTCAGGCAGTGAGGAGCCCAGCCGGTAGTGTGGAGAGCTGCCTCCAGCTGGTAAGTCCGGTGTGGTGGAAGGGGAGGGGGAGGAAAAGGGTGTGGAGGGGGGCAGATCAACACCCCCCATGGTTAGGGAGGGGGCGGGCGCAGGCACTGCCCAGGTGGGGCAGGTGGCGGGGAAGGCAGCTCCTGCCGCTGCTTGCACCCTGGGAGGGCACGGGGTTGGCGGGGCATGTGCCCCCCAGATCTGCGTGGGGCAGGCTGCGGCTAGGGCTGCGCAGGGCTCTTTTTGGTGGTTGGGTGGAGGCGGGGCATTGAGCTGGGGCTGCGCCAGGTGGTGGTGGCAGCAGCAGCACTGGGAGTAGAGCAGCGGCGAAATTTGGGGTGCATGCAGCATCCTCCCAGCATTGCCGGCACCTGCTCCAAGCCCAGCGCCTGCTGAGAAGAGCCTGGGTAGTGCCTGCCCCTGCCCCTGCCTCCTCCCTCACTGCAGGGAATGTTGATCTGCCCCCCCACCCCATGCCCTTTCCTTCCCCCTCCCCTTCCACGACATCAGATTTACCAGCTGGAGGCAGCTGTATCGGAAATCAGATTGGTATCACCCTGGAAGGACTGGATGTGTTTAAGTCAGCAGGCCCAGATGATCTTCATCCAAGGGTGCTGAAGGAATTGGCCAGTGTCATAGGA